GTGTGTTCTGATTGGGTGGAGGTGTGTTCTGATTGGTTGGGGGTTTGGGTTTCAAAGTTTTCCATGTAGAGGTTGGCAATGACAGGTGAGAGGGGTGATCCCATGGGTGCTCCTTCTATCTACTTATCTCCTTCTATCTATCTATCTATATATAGTATACTATACCTATATCAAAGGTGCATAAGACCATTTGAATTTGTTCTTGCCATATAAATTATTGCATGATGTAGATTGTACCTGGTCATCAATTTCATTGGGAGCTTCATCATCACTGATGTAAGAATCAGCGGCGGCGGGGGAGTGTTTCCTCATCGTCTATTACAAAATTTTAATCACAATCTGATTCCACTTCCTCAGATCACTCTCTGCTTCTCCATGCCATTTTAGAACAGTTTCTTGGAAGTTTGGCTCACCAAATTGCACTCTTTTTGGTGGAAAACTTGGCCCCAACATTATTAAAAAAACATTAACAAAGATTTGCAGTCCAAATGACTGAAACTCAAATTCAAATGCCGCTACAGAAAACGTCAAATAACTAATGCAAGCGTGATGCTGCATATGCTCTTATTGGTGGGAAAACAAAAGCTAATCGCAACTGGAATGGTCCATTTCTAAAAACAGGGGGATCCGAACATTTTGGAAAACTGTTGTGGTCATTATGACTGCAGGTCTGTGGTTATGGGTTAATGTAATAAACCTTCAAGTCAAACAAGGAATACTAGAAATCACAAATCCTATCTACCCACCACTTCTGTTTCAGCTTAAGCATTTGAACTGATAAACCTTGGTCCAATCTTTGGCTACCTTCTAAATTTAACACTCTGATCTATTCTGAATTCTTGCCTAGGTTTTACTATTGTTACTGTATTCTATTTCAAATACCACATGTGTCCAGGATACCATCTGTGTCATTTGCCTTGGACTTTCTGGATCAGGACAGTTAAGAAACCTTATTTACTTGAAAATACACATCAATCATCACTATGAATATTTGCCTAATATAGAGATTTTCAACTCATAAAGTCTTCTAAACAGATGGTCTAATTAAAAAAAAAACACTGACAGCTATGGAAGCAATGTTAAAAATTGAATTATTTAAATATAGAAATCCAGTGTCCTGACCCACACAACAAAGGTTTTTTGGACAGAAGAAGAATGGACCTGCAATTTTTACTAAATTTTAAGTTGCCTTACTCCCATTGTTTTAGTAAAATACTTTTAAATTTTAAAAATGGGAGATAAATTAGTGCCTCTGATAATATTATCGAGGTAAAGTACCAGGAAAGTTTTAATATAACAGTAAAACATCATTCCTCAAGTTTTCCTCTTGAAATTAAATCTGCCCAACACAGGACTTTTCCATGTAATTCTGTACCTTCCAAAAATACTGATTTAATATTAATTTAAGTAGATCTAACTTTGCCCCCTTTATCTTGTCCTTATAGCCCCCAGGCTATAAAGCTCTCTTATTCTCTCAGAGTTTAAAAATAAACATTCCTTGCATTAATTTTTATAGATATAACATTTTTTTCTCAAAACAATAACTTCCAAGGACGCTGGTCAATTACCAAAAGTAAAATGCATATAAAAGTATTCATGTTTATAAAAATATTTATTTATTTTAACTGGATGGCTGCATCTCTCTTCCCAAGAATTCATCATATAGAATACATCATGACTCTTTATATGTTTGGATATGTAGCTTAGAATGCATAATCAGACACCTAGATTAAATACACTGATCTGAATATTGGATTTCGAATTTACTTCATTTTTGACATGTTATAATGAAATAAGGGCATTTTATTTCCCTGTATTTTTAATGTTACATATAAAAGGGCTCTTATATTGAGAGAAACAATTATGAGTACCAGTGCACAACTCCCCCAGCAGACTCCTTGCCATTAAAGTTTGTCAACATATCTTGAAACATGCAGAATACTCTCACAGATCACAGTGCAACTAATACTTTCATTGTCAGGTTAAAGTCATTCAGACTCATGAGAGTGCTTGAACTACAGATGCTTCATGTTTTGTGAACTTTTGGCAATGAGCCATAGACAATCAGCCCACGTTTGTACATGTAACGGAGAGTGAAATATAACAGTGACATGAGGTAATATCATTACCAGATACTGTTGAATTGTTTAACTGAACATTAAATGTATGATTTAAGTATGTTAGGTAAGCATCCATAAATGATTAGTTTTATTCATCCTTCTGCAAAGAACTTTGAGCATTTAAAATAAAATATTACAACTAACCTGATGAAGATCATTACCCAGTGCATATTCTTGGAAATAACCTGGTGCTGCAGATGATGCTCTGATAGCTTGCCACAATTTATAATGGCAACTCCCAAGATAGTGAGACTTTACTCCAGGAAAGTGATTGTAATTTCTAAATACAAAGGCTTTCAGGGGTGTTCCTCTGCTTACAATAGTGCTTATCGCAGCCACCTAATAAAAAAAAAATACTAAATTTTATCCAGTTATATATAGCTGCTTTTCCAATTATCCTTGCCTTACAACAATCAACTATTAACATGTTAGATCAATCTAGGATTACATCATTCATATTCATACTTATATATTATTATAAATACAAACACATATATACAGCAACACACACACACACACACATATAATAAATGGGATAGATTAAAGTATTTTCATTGGGGCTATATATTTTTCAATTTTTAAATAAGTATTTTTTACTAAAAGGATGTGATGGCCTTATGGCTAAGCACTGGACTTGTTGACTGGAAGATTGGCAGTTGGACCCAAACATAGCATGATGGTGTGAGCTACTGTTCTTGCCCCAGCTCCTGCCACCCCAGCAGTTCAAAAGCATACAAATACAAGTAGATAAATAAGTACCACTTCCGTGGGAAGTGTTCTGTGTACCGCAGCATATAGCCACATGACCAAGGAAGTGTTTGAACAACGCTGGCTCCCTCGGCTAAGAAATGGAAATGAGAACCACCCCCTAGAGTTGGACACCACTGGTCAGGGGAAACCTTTACTTTAAAAAAAAAAATTCTTTTTTACTAGGCAGAGTTATGTCTGAAGGCATTACCGTATATGGTTTTGAGTTCATGTTTAAAGAAATAAAATGTGTCCTCTTGCTCCTCATTCCATCATTTGATCAGACTTTGTCTTCCAAAGTCATGTAATTTGCTCACTTTCGACATTCACATTGTAAGTATTTTTGATTTAGTTGAATATAAAAGATTGGGAAATTATGGTATTATTGAAAACAAGATAAATCTTCCTATTTTAACCCAATGATAGTCACACCATACACAGCATGCTAACTGTTACTATTTCTGAAGGAAATTCTGTCCTTCTAGCCCTCCATTAGTATAAAGCAGTTTTCTTAAGAAAAATAAAGCTGTACATAAAATGAAAGTGAACAAAACCTTTATCATGCTTCAGAGATTATAAAAATGAATGGAATGTATTATTGTTTCCCAGAATAAAACAATAAGCACTGGGTCTTCAAGGCTTCTGTACAGTAATGGACACAAATTGACCAATTCTGCATTGAACTTACTCCTAGTAAGTCAGCAAATAAACATTTTTATATATTTCCTAGGGCACAGACTTGCCTTTGTCAGTGACATATGTTATATCTCTCTAGTATTTCCACAAACCCAATCACAAAAGGCAAAATGCTATTCAATCAACTAAGTTAACAAATACAAACAGTCTCTCATATTTTCTAAGCAGTTTTAACAACCTTGGGATAAAAAGTTGGGAATTAAAATCAAATACATGTGTGAAGCTGAAATATGATGAATTTCTTTTTCTTGTGAGATATCAGCAATCATAGTTTTGAGTGTGTTGAGATAGCCAATACTTTTAGAAAATTAATGAAAGTAATCACTAAAATTCCGTGTGTTAAAAATGATTGTTAACATGGGTTGAATTATTATTCTGTCAATCGAACAATATTAAAAAAATAAGTAAAGTGACTTGACTTTACACACTTTACAAGCCTCTACAAACATAACAGAATATGGCCAAACATTTTAGGATAGGAGAAGCTAGTTTAAAAAAGCAACAGTTTGAAAATATCCTGGCTGGAGTTTATTTAGAAAAAAATGTTGAGAAAAACTTTCTTAATGCATTCCATAGGAGAGGCATCTGACTGTTCCATTGTAAACTCACTGCTCCTAGTTCATATGATCCAAAATAGACCAAACATACCGTATTTTTCGGAGTATAAGACGCACCTTTTTCCCTCAAAAAAGAGGCTGAAAATCTGGGTTTTTCTTATACAGTGAATACAGCATTTTTTGCCTCCTGAAACCCCGCCCCTTCACCAAAATAGCCGTGCATAGCTTGTAGGAGGCTTTCAGAGCGCTCCTGGGGGCTGGGGTGGGCAATTTCCCCCCCTAGCCCCCAGGAACACTCTATAAGCTTCCTAATGCCCTTTTTTGACAAAAACCAGGGGTGTTTTTGCAAAAACTGGGTTTTTTTGGTCGTTTTTGCCCCCCCTCCCCAGGAACACTCTACAAACCTCTTAAGGGCTATCCATGCCCTTTTCTGTGCATCTTATACTCCAGTGGGTCTTATACTCTGAAAAACACGGTAGCCTTCTCTCTGCTCCCCAATGTATATGTATCACAAAACATGCAGAAACAATGAAAGGGGGGGGTGTTGGAGAGAAAAAAAGAAGCATCCTACAGCAGCAGCTGACAGGAATTCAAGAAAATTTCAACTAATGGATTTCTGGTGGAAAGATGACATCTTACTTATACTGTTCTTTTCTTGGTCTGCTATCAATTCTCACAATTTTAAATTTAGAATGTTTTGTAAGTCAGAAGAAACTTCCCTGGGAAAGGGGACACTCTGGAAATCCAACCTTTTGTTCATCCGGATAGCTGGATGGTTAGAAAGAGCTTCTTGAAGAAGTAATTGAGTAAGTCTCTGGTTGGGGGCAGGGCAACAAAAGCAAGTTCACTGTGGAAGAACCAGGCATTTAAAATGGACAATAAAGTCTCCACTGTTTCTTAGACATTCATTTTTTGTATATTTACTTTTTGCTTTAAAAGGGCTCCCTCTGACTTTAAGATGGTGAGGAGGGGAGGAGTTGGTGTATCCGAGCCAAAATAAAGAAGTTGGAAATCACTGTGGAAACTACAGGTAGTCCTTGACTTATAACAGTTCATTTATTGACTCTTCAAAGTTACAACAGGATTGAAAAAAGGGACTTATGACCATTTTTCACTTATGACCATTATAGTATCCCCATGGTCACAAGATCAAAATTCAGATACTTGGGAACTGATTCATATTTATGACGGTTGCAGTGTCCTCGGGTCATGTGATCACTTCTATGACCTTCTGACATGTGAAGTCAATGGGGAAGGCAGATTCACTCAACAACTGTGTTAACAACTTCAGTGATTCACTTAATAAATGTGGCAAGTAAAGTTATAAAGTGGGGCAAAACTCGTTTAACAAATGTTTCACTTAACAATAGAAATGTTGGGGTCAATTATGGTCATAAGCCGAGGACTACTTGTCTTTTGAAACTTCTAGAGGATTTTATATCTTTAATTGACTGTTGAACTTCTTTGCCTTTAAAATAAAGACTTCCTAAATAGTGTTTTGATCTGTTGTGAGGAGGGGGAGAAATGGATTTTAATTGCTTCGGATTGGACTAGTTGTGTTGGCTGTTAAAACAAGGAGACATGGACTAAGGTGTTTTTTTATATTGCAGTGGGGCTGTTTGAGCACATGAGGGAGCCAAAAGACTGAATTATTAACTCTTATTAACTCTCCGGTAGCATCATTTCATCCATTGGATTTAATGTTAGAAATTGACAAGTTTAAAATTTTAAACTTTAGTTATATTCTGACAAGATGGCTACACGCAAAAATGGAAAGAATATCCGGAGATGCAGAATCTTTAATCTTTTTGGCAGCAAAAACACATGAACTACTGTAATTCAGACAATGGGAACAAAACTTGATACACTCTCAAAGAAACTTTGTGAGGAGACACAACACTTGACTGGAGATATGAAACTGTTGAAGGATAGAATGGATCTTATGGAACATAAATTGAGAAGAAAGAGGTCCAGGGCCAAGTTGATTTGCGTGAAAAGGCCCTTTTAGAATTAGAACTTAAAGCAGCTTCAATTAAGATTCTGGGTAGTTCCTGAAGGGTCTGGAGAGGATATCAGATAAAGGATAATTAAAGCCTTGGCCCAGTTAATTAATTGGGAAGAAAAGACCCTTGAACTTGAAATAGACAAAATTTAAACTCCAGATTTGCTCATATTAGGAAATTACCTTAGGGTTTTAGTGGGCTTTAAAATAAAACAACAATGCTTATTAAGTATATAACCTCACAAGACTGTGATATAATTGACTAAAAAGTCTGGTTTTTAGGGTTGAGAAACTATGTGCCTCTCTGGAATGATATCAAAAAGGACTTATTAAGATGGGATTAACTGCATCTATTACTATTGGGTAGAATTTCTGTAACTAAGATCAATGTCTTACCAAAAAAGCTTTTTTTGTTTCACACATTACCAATACTTGCAATTGATACTCCATTTAACCAATGGAAGATGGATATTTCTAAGTTTATATGGCAAGAAAAAAAACAAGAATTGGATACAAATTACTGTAAGATACTAAAGAAAGAGGGAGTTTGGGGTTTACCAGATTTTAAATCGTATTTTGATGCTTGTTGTTTGATCTGGCTAAAAGAGTGAGTGAACTTTCAGAATAAGAGGCTATTTGATCTAGAAGGTCATGAATGAATATTTGGATGGCACGATCATTTATGGTATGACAAGGTTAAAGTAAATATTGATTTTAATGATCATTTTCTTAGACATGCCATTCTAAGAGTTTGGAATAAATATAAAACAAAGGTTTTTCTTTTATGAAGTTGCCTCTTTAGATGTCCCTCCAGGAAGCTTTTTTCAGAAAAGAAACGGTGGTGAAGCCAGACTCGTGGACTTATGGTAAAATAATATATTTTAATATTGGTGGTCCTATCCTCAAGTCTAAGGAAGAGTTAGAATCAGAAGGATATGTCTGCCATTCGTTTACATATTTATAATTGAAAGAAAAATTTAAATGAGATAAAAAGAGTTATGGGTTTGACTTTGTTAAAAATGAATTGGAAATCGTACTGTGTGGTAGTGATGAATATATTATTGCTAGGATCTATAAATTATTATTGAATTTGAATTTGGAAAATGAATATGTAAAGCACTGCATGATTCAGAGGGCAAGAAATTTTGGATATAATGTAATGCTTGAACAATGGGAGAATATGTGGACGAAAGGTTTAACATTTATAATAAATTATAATTTAAAAGAAAAAAAATTGTAAGGTACTGTATATATTGCTGGTATTTAAAACCAGACAAGTTGTCAAGAATGTACAGGTGCAACTCAAAAAATTAGAATATCGTGCAAAAGTTCATTTATTTCAGTAATGCAACTTAAGAGGTGAAACTAATATATGAGAGAGACTCATTACATGCAAAGCAAGATAGTCAAGCCATGATTTGTCATAATTGTGATGATTACGGCTTACTGCTCATGAAAACCCCAAATCCACAATCTCAGAAAATTAGAATATTACATGATATTCTAATTTTTTGAGTTGCACCTGTACATTCTTGACAACTTGTCTGGTTTTAAATACCAGCAATATATACAGTACCTTACAATTTTTTTTCTTTTAAATTATAATTTA